ACAATCGATAATAGATAGTCGGACCCAGCCTGCGGCGAGGAGTCTGCATAAACACATATGTCCTTTGTGGCTCTCAAAACGATCTCGCCAGAAGCAGCAGTATGAGGAGTCCACCTCTATCTGTTTCTGTGAAAGTGTTGCAGCTGACAGCACCTTGAAATCATTGGTCGGTATTGCAGAGTGTCCTGGGAACAAGCTTTGGAAGGCCAAATTGAACGTCTCCCCAAGTTGGGCACGGTTCCGAAGGTTCATCGCAGCAAGGAGTGCCTTCACGACGGCATCTGGCTGCACTTTTTGGTTTGCAAATGAAGATCCACCCCCACCAATTGAAGCAAAACTGCGTAACCGCAAGCAAGCCTCCTCCAAGAACAATTTCAAATTCATTTGCTCCTCAGGGTTCCCACGCTTGTGAACCTCAGGATGAAGTCGCCGAAGCTCTGTGGCCCGAGTGTTTGCAAACTCTGGAGTAAGCTGCAACTTGGAAGTGTCGGCGCTGACATGATCCCTCATCTTCCCAGAATTTTGCAACGCCAAAAGCGAAGCCTGCAACAAATTTTTGGAACACGTTGCTGCGCTGCAGTTTCTCACGCCATCGCCCTTGCAACATCAGGGACCTCCACTCCCCACTTTTGACAAGCTCGGCAAGAACAGCAGGAATGGCCATGCAAATTGGGTCTGAAGCAAATGAAACCAATTCATCTTGAGTGACCTCCAAAAAGTCTAGAGTCTAGAATTTGCTGGTGGTCAACATGGCGAGAGAGGTCTGGAATCTGGAGCCCAAAACCCTTGAAGGTTTCCAACGTCAAGAGGGACATTGGGCAACCAAAACGGAATCTTCTTCCGCTGCGGGTTTGCTACAACTAAATATAAAGGCGGCTGCAAAAAGATTGCTTTTCCAATCCTCAATGTAAACGTTTTCTGTAAAAGCATCTCGGTTTCCCCAAATGCTCCCAGAAAAGGTCATCCTCTCGGCTCCACTGCGTGAGGGGCCCATCGTATTCAGCACCTCGGGATACATTTGCAAGCAGAATGCATGAAGCTTCACACTCCTTCGATTTCACACCGTGCTTCTCAGAAAGGAGGTCGGACAGATCACGAGAGGCAGCCAAATCTGCAAACCATGCTGGACGTGGGAACACCCTTCTGACAGCTACATCACTCTCATCCACCCGGTGCCTCTGCCGGGCATACTGACAAACCAGAGCCAACAAAGGCATCCGCCAACCTTCACACACATAGCCACATAGCTTCTACGCAAATCCTCTGTGGGGCCTCTTTGGGCCCCACGCAGCTACGAAGCAAACAGCCCCACGGCTCAACAAAAAGGATGCGCAAAATGAAGAATGTCACAGAACATGGACACCAGCGTGCACAAAAGTTATCATGTGCGTCAATCAACTCAATCAGCGAACTGCGCTACACAAATTAGGCAATCACGCACAGGCTTTCATAGGCAACCCTTTAACTTAACACATTCAATGCAACTCCAAAATGTGACAAAGCGACACCATTGCAAATGAAACTCAGAAATCGCAAAGCGCAAAAAGCAAACTTGTAACTTGCGCGTTCACGCTTGTGCGTCGGGTCTGCGCGCGCAACAACGCTGCAGGTTTGGGTTGCGACGTTGCTGCGTTTGCGTGCTTAGATTCCATGTTTGCGAACATTTGTCCATGTTGACAAGACTTTTGGCGCAAAAACGCTAGTGAGTGACACTAGTTATCATTGACTCCAAACCGGTGTGTTTCTTGAGTTCCTGACTTCCTTGATAAAAAAGTTGTGACTCAGGAATGCCTTTCTTGGGCCAGTGTTAACAAGAAGTTGGTCTTTGTGGCCAAGCGTTGTTCACTGCAAGGTTGGGGGCGCATAAAACTAAACGAAGAACCCTTTTGCCTCCACCTGAAAATCATTTTGTGCTCATTGATTGCGCAAAGAATCCATATTCACCAAACAGCAGGATACTCTTGAGGACACCTCTTGGAGACACTCTTGTGGGATGAAAGCTCTTGTGGGACACTCTCGCGCGACACCCTTGCGGGACACATTCTTTGTGAAGCATGAAAATGGCAGCCGCAGTCCGCCAGAGGTTTGATTCCTGGTCCTTTGGGGCATGATGAGCAGGGCGTTACTTGCCAGATGTTCAACTGTATGGCCAATCAGCCATGACTATGGTGCGCAGCTTTTCCTTTTGACCCCTTCCTGTGCGAAATAACAAAAATCATACGATGAGAAAGCGCCGCTGAGTAGCATGCTTCCTTCCCAACAGAAAGGTTAAATACAAAAATTTCTGTGTACCACAAGGCCTCCTGGAAATCTTACACCTGATTCATGATTCAGGTCACACTTCATGCTACACTTGTCGAACTGCAGCAGCATCGCTGCGCTAGCCCAACTTCCCCAGCAAATTATTATGACTGCAGCTCGAAAGCGCAAGCCTTACAAGTGTTGCGTGCATCTGAATCAATTCTCCCAGGCTGTCGTACACTCTGATGGAGTCCACAGAGACGTTTCCAGCATGGAGCGCAGGTGGCTGCTCTTTCCTGGGTCACCCTTGATCCGTTCTGTAAGCCATGCTTCGATGCCTTTCACCACCTCTTGGCGTTCTTTGAGTCTATCACTCAGTAGGTATGACCAAACTCAAAACCTTGAAAAGTTGGCCTTCAAACTCCGGCTGCATTGGCCTTTCTTGACAACTATATCAATGATACCATAGGTCAGCAAGCATTGGATGACGAGGATGGTAGCCTAAGCAGTAAGCATATACTGCCTTGTATATCATTATCAGCATGCCAGTCATCGTTGCTCTTCTCCTGTCACAAACGGTATGAAAAAATACGGATCATAACCTCTCAGAAACAAAAGACAATATACAATGACATTTTTCATTTTGAAGTTACAAAGAAAACCACACTGATTTTTTAGACCAGTGGGGCACTTTTTGTCACCATGATTGAAAAACTAGTATTTTTAGTGTTATTTTTCAACATGAAAAGAAGAAAAACAACTTCGACCTAAGCTCCAAAAGGCCAACCCACAAGGCCAATCGTGCATGTCCTGAGGTTGCTCCTCATCGGCCTCTTCTGCAGCATAAACCCCTGCCACTTATGAAGTATTCTGCATCGCCGGCGTCAGCAAGCTCTGTCTGGTAGACACGGCGTGGTCCTTCGCCTTTCCCCCGGTTGAACGCGGAGGCGGAGGAAGGCAAGGTCGGTGCTGAACTTGAAGCTGATGTGGAAGCCGTCGACTTGGGGTAGTGGCCACCCTTGTAGGAAGAACTGCTGGAGCTGCCTGGTCGCCATCCATCTGACTGGAACACCGGTGGAGTTGGCCTGAAATCTGGAAACTGCAGTTGTGGGCTACTGCTTCAGCTCCAATGAGTATCAACCCCTGAAGCTGTGGATCCAACTTGCATGCAACGCTCCAACAACTTGTTGCCACGCGACTCTGAATCATACATAGCTGCTGAACTGATCGGCCGACTGCAACAACACGCTCAAAACGCTTCTATCATTGTATCTGTTGATGAAGCGTCGAATCGACTCATGGCCTTGTCGGGTGATGGACTCGTAGTTGGACAGCAGCATACGCTTCTGATACAAACACTTCTGTTCCAGCGGGCCCTTCAAACAACCAAGGATGTAGCTGATGCCATCTTTGGCGTTGACTTTCTCCAGCTCCATGCGCTCTGCCTCGGCCTCCAGTGAGGGAGCTGAACAACATCAAACTAGCCTCTGCACCTGTAAGGTAGTGTTGTACCTGCATCTGCCAGACCTGAGTCGTCGCTCATACTTTGCAAAAGCACGAAGGTCCGATGCATGGTACTGCCACTTGCGTGGCTGTGGTGTGCCACCTCTCCACTTCAGCCGCGGCGCTGGGCCTTTCCTTGAATTCCAACTCTTGTCAGAAGCCGAGTCATTGCGACGCTCCTCCACCACTTGCTTTGCTTGTGCCAACTCGCACTGTCCTTCTGCTGGCCTCGTCTTCGACGATGTAGAAAGGCGCACCGGTACCTGTGAAGGAGAAGGTGCATTTCGGAGCATCATGCTGTGAACCGTTCTGTTGCGCAGTGGTCGTACCTACGGGCCAATAATACCTGGATGGGACTGCAAGGTGGATCACCAGCGGGTGCACTGTCGGTGCTGGGAACATACAGCCGTGTGCCCTCAACTGTCTGCTGCCGTGTAGGTTGCTCAACATTGTAAACCTGATCAAAGTGACAACTCTCGCAAACATATGAAGCGGCTGCAACTTCCTTCCAACGTGCCGGTTGCATCGAAGGCACCGCCAAGGATTGTCTCAACTTGCAATGCTCGATGCAGCACCTGGATCGGACTCCACAGTGGCGTGGAGCTCCTCGAGGGCGTCAAGCTCCGACTGCGTCCACCCTCCGGGCAACGAATCCTGGAAACAACGAGGCTCCGGTGCCAACTAAGCAAGATACGCAAACCATGTATCGAGCGAACGAAGGACGCGGCCCTTTTGCGAAAGCGTGTGGCTCGGTGCGCACCTTTGTGCCATGACGGCATCGGGGCATTTGACTCATGTGCGCGCTCTCTTAGAACTGGTGGTCGGAATTCACACATATATCTTGTTCGGTCCAGCTCATCTAATCCCCTTAAGGAGCCTTGTGAGCCATGGCCAAAAACCTCGGTTCGAGATCAAACAACATCTGATCCTCCAACAACCAACGTTGCTAAACAACCACTGATTTGAAGGCGAACAACGTCGGAGCAAACAACCTCGGTTTCCCAAAAAAAGTCAGAGCTTGGTCAGATGTTTTTGAACGTCGGATGACGCAAAGGGGAACTTGGATTGCAGCATAGAAACTGGCCTGTTCAAGCCTTAACTCCGAAGAGTTTGGACTTAACATCTTGATCGCTGTGTGTTGTCCCAAAATCACTGCAATTTGTTGACCCATCTTTGTGATCATGCTAGAAACCGAGGATCTCAATCCTCAGCCTTTAGGCTTCAAAAGATTGATTCATCCAAATGCGTCCAAGTACCGGGTGTCGAGATGCCAGCAAGAGGAGAGTAGCGCAAGACACGACTTAACCATCCATCCTCCGTGCGGCCACCATGGACAAACAGCCGATTAGGCCCAGCCGCAGTTGGATTCACTACGGCGCTCGCGTGCCCCCATACACCAAGCCATCCTTCCGTCTCTTTCCTCGGATCTGCGACCAAACAGTCCACGCACAAAGGCTGCTCTAAAATGCTCTAACCAGGAGTGACTGGCGTGACTATCTGCAGCCTACAGCCAATGTCTCGCCTAGTCGCTCCGTCCAAACATATCCGTTAAGGTCGAACCACCATGCCTTGTTCGAAACTCTTGGAGCCGTCGGATCGCTGCAGGCGCTCCCAGATGTTCCACGACGACCACCCAAGACCACCATCCCAACGTTGCCGGCATCGTTGAAATAGTTCGCGGTGTGAAAGGACAGACCGCAAGGCTCTGGGATGGCAGGCAAGCTAACCCATCCTGCGTCTGCCCTCCTCCACAAAAAAGTCAAGTCCAGGTAGGTAGCATCTTCAGAACAGGAGCTCTGGCCACCAAGAACAATTGCAGAGGTTGGGTCAGCCACCACCACAGTGTGTCCTGCTAAAGGAACTGGTGAAGGATCCTGCTCCCTCCAACGAACGGTTGGGCGATCACGGTCCGGGGTCACTACTCCCCAGTACACCCGGTCTGTGGCTGCACCAAGTGCACCGGGCGCAACACATCCCCCAAACCGGTAAATGTCATAGCATGCCGTTGGGTTGGCGCAGCTGGCTTCAAAGCGGACGATCTTGGAGAAGGGCGCGGCATCCATCTGCGAGCTGTCCTTGGGTAAAGTTAATCAAGCATGTGTGCACCAGAGCCGAACAGACTGTTTAGAAGCACAATGAAGCATATCTGATCCAATCACCTGATCTGAATCTGATCTAGAGGTCCCAATCTTCTTTCAGGGGTCCAGATTCCAGATCTCGGAACCAAGGTGCAGCAGAGACTGGCACAAGTTGAAATCCTTCGGGGGGGGGAAGCGGAAGTCGTCTTCTTCGCTCGAGCTATCCTCAGTCAGAGGTAAAGTTGGCAAAAAGCAAGCTTGCACTATATAGAAAAAACATTGTCCAAGGCATATGTATAACTGTATAGCATTGTATCTCCCCGCTGCTCGTCTTGCACCAAACACCAGACCAAAAAAGGGGTCTTAATTCCAGATCTCAGAGCCAAGGTGCGTCAGCAACGTGCTCGTCTTCCTCGATCTGGATCAGCGAGGTCTTGCAGTAGCACAAAGCTTCATGGCCAGGATTGGTGGTGTCTGAGCAATCGATCCCCGCTGGGCTTGCACCATCGTAGTAAGTGCAAAGCTCTGGACCTTTAAAGAAAGGAGCCCCTGCAGAGCTCCTCCCAAGAAATGTCGAGCATGTTTTTCCTAGACTGCTCAACACTGATGCCACCGTGGCATCGTCATTCACTCTGGCCATGGCATTCTTGTCGCAAAGGTCAACTCCACACACATCATCGCAGGTGCCCCCTCCAAGGAGGGATGACAATCGCAGAGCAGGTGACACACTAAGAAGAGTATGTCTTTTAGAAGTTAGATGATACAAACACAAATGATGAGGCCCAATGGTTAAAAAGGACATGAGGGTCCGTTGGTTTGTCAGCCGAGGACTTTTTGGAGCCACATCCAAATCTTCATGAGTGGAGCATCTCCTACATATGAGTATTGGGCTTTCGGGCCTGGAGCACTCAGCTGCCATCCACTGGTAGGAAATGTGCCTGTTGCGGTGCTCGCTCTGGAGGAAGAACCATAACTGATTGCCAAAGACACGATCGGCGCCGTCGTGGTGCTAGCCGTGGCAGCTGCCGTAGTAGTCGTGGTCACACAGTAGCAAATGCGCTTTCCTGGGCGAAGAATGAGTTGAAATCGTTCCAACAGCCTGTCCCCGGAACAACTTGTTGAAAAAATACAATAAAGATCCGTACTCTCTGGCGCGCAAGCATGGGAAACATTAACACGCAAGCCTTTTGAGCAAATCGAGGCGGCCCTGATTGAATGTGGATGTGGCAGAACATGCGGTGTTGCCCGGCGCTCCCCCATAAGGGAAGCACGTGCCCTCCCGCCACATAGGGGCAGCTGCCCAGTTAACACCCGGGTCTAGAGTGCACGGCGAGCCCAAGCTTGTAGACACAGCCACCAAATCCTTGGACTCGCTGTTCAGGACACGGAAACAAAGCAACATGTTCCTAAGAAGATTGCTCACCCGCAGCGCAAAATGAAAGTATGTGAAAACCACCCTATGTGAAACAAGGCTCTGCTCCTTGAAGTTGTTCCTGCTTTTGGGTATCGCAGTTGTCGACTCCGCATACATCATCGCAGGTTCCTGACCAGAAAAAAAGGTTGTCGTTCCGACGGGGAGAATGCCCTTCTTGTAAACCAAGCAGAAAGGGCAAACACCTACGATGTTGCCTGGTACATCTCAATCTAGGCCTGTGCCTCGTGCAACATCTGTCATGGCCCATGAAGTCTGCGTGGTAAGACTTTAGGCGCCTGGATCCGGGCTGAACTCCCAAACGCCGTCGGCAGCTGTAGTGGTGGTGGTCGTGGTAGTCGTGGTTAAGCAGTAGCAAATGCGTTTTCCTGGGCATCAAGCGAAGCTTTAGTTGAAAAGCATGAGTTGGAATCGTTCCAACAGCCTGTCCCCGGAATTGCTTTAAACCTCAATAAAGATCCACACTCTCTGGCGGTCACAAACTCGCAAGCATGGGAAACATTAACACGCAAACTGCAAGCTTTTTGAGCAAATCGAGGCGGCCCTGATTGAATGTGGATGTGGCAGAACATGCGGTGTTGCCCGGCGCTCCCCCATAAGGGAAGCACGTGCCCTCCCGCCACATAGGGGCAGCTGCCCAGTTAACACCCGGGTCAAGAGTGCACGGCGAGCCCAAGCTTGTAGACACAGCCACCAAATCCTTGGACTCGCTGTTCAGGACACGGAAACAAAGCAACATGTTCCCAAGAAGATTGCTCACCCGCAGCGAAAAATGAAAGTATGTGAAAACCACCCTATGTGAAACAAGGCTCTGCTCCTTGAAGTTGTTCCTGCTTTTGGGTATCGCAGTTGTCGACTCCGCATACATCATCGCAGGTTCCTGACCAGAAACAAAGGTTGGCGTTTCGACGGGGAGAATGCCCTTCTTGTAGACCAAGCAGAAAGGGCAAACACCTACGATGTTGCCTGGTACACCTCCGTTTGCATCTAGGCCTGTGCCTCGCGCAACACCTGTCATGGCCCATGAAGTCTGCGTGGTATGACTTTAGGCGCCTGGATCCGGGCTGAACTCCCAAACGCCGTCGGCAGCTGTAGTGGTGGTGGTCGTAGTAGTCGTGGTGGTGGTCGTGGTCGTGGTCGTGGTCGTTTTTGCTATGGTAGCTGCCGTAGTGGTGGTTAAGCAGTAGCAAATGCGTTTTCCTGGGCATCAAGCGAAGCTTTAGTTGAAATCGTTCCAACAGCCTGTCCCCGATAAAGATCCACACTCTCTGGTGGTCACAAATTTGCAAGCGTGGGAAACATTAACACGCAAACTGCAAGCTTTTTGAGCAAATCGAGGCGGCCCTGATTGAATGTGGATGTGGCAGAACATGCGGTGTTGCCCGGCGCTCCCCCATAAGGGAAGCACGTGCCCTCCCGCCACATAGGGGCAGCTGCCCAGTTAACACCCGGGTCAAGAGTGCACGGCGAGCCCAAGCTTGTAGACACAGCCACCAAATCCTTGGACTCGCTGTTCAGGACACGGAAACAAAGCAACATGTTCCTAAGAAGAACGTTCACCCGCAGCGCAAAGTGAGAATATGTGAAAACCGCCCTATGTGAAACAAGGCTCTGCTCCTTGAAGTTGTTCCTGCTTTTGGGTATCGCAGTTGTCGACTCCGCATACATCATCGCAGGTTCCTGACCAGAAAGAAAGGTTGGCGTTCCGACGGGGAAAATGCCCTTGTTGTAAACCGAGCAGAAAGGGCAAACACCTACGATGTTGCCTGGTACATCTCCGTTTGCATCTAGGCCTGTGCCTCGTGCAACACCTGTCATGGCCCATGAAGTCTGCGTGGTAATGACTTTAGGCGCCTGGATCCGGGCTGAACTCCCAAACGCCGTCGGCAGCTGTAGTGGTGGTGGTCGTGGTAGTCGTGGTAGTCGTGGTTAAGCAGTAGCAAATGCGTTTTCCTGGGCATCAAGCGAAGCTTTAGTTGTGTTCGCGGAGAAAACGCAGCGCGCCCTTTTACGCTAAGGCTTGGGCCACTATTCGGCCGAGAGGTTAAGTCAAGTGCTGTGCAACAAGTGGGGCTCTCTCTGTCAAATGCCTAACACCCCACCTGAAAAGGGACACGGCATTAGTGGCGCTTTTCACACTTCGCCTTCTTCGACGTAGCGCCTCAAGTGCTCGTCCCAATTCAACTCCCATTGCCCACTCATCACCATGATGGCGAAATTGGCAAAATGTTTCTTCTCTTCAGCATTCCATTTGAACACGTGGTCGAATGCTGCTCGTGGGTCATTGCTTCCATGAATCTGGGAGATTCGAGCTTGGAGGAATTCTTTCAACAAGCTCTCTGGAAAAATTCCAGCTTCTTGGACTTTTCGTCCTCTTCGTTCTTCGTCTGGTGGCAAGTACTTGTAGATGGTCTCCATGTCGTCCCAATTAGCATCATTTGGTGGCTCACGTCGGTCATAGTCTGACCATACTCCTCCTGGGTGTGTTCTTCCATCATTCTCTTCCATGTCCACATCCATGTTCTGGCTCTCATCATTGATGGGGTTTTCTTGCTCTGTTCCACTTTGCGGTGCTTCTCTTTCAGACCTTGTTGGTCTATATCGTCTGTAGAGCCCTGTCGGCTCATTTCCTGTGAAGTATTCTTCACCACTCTCTGCTTCTTCAGATCCTGCCAGGACTCGATACTCCCTCATGCGTTGGAGCACAGGATCCCAATCGGTCGTCCATTCACCAATCCACTCATAGTCTGCATCTTGTTCTTGGCTTTCACTTGGCTCAGTTCTTGTCTCATTCTGCAATTCAACTTCAAGTTGCCGGTCAGGTACTGCAGGTCGAAGTGGGTTGTCTGGAAAGATCGTGCGTCCTTCATATCGCCATTCCCCACCTGCAGCAGACCACATCTGAGCCCTCAAAAGCAAGTCTCTTCCACTCCTTCGATCTCGGACTTCTTGTGCACGGGCTTCCTGTAGAATGCCTTCTCTGAACATTCTTTCATCATTCTGTCTTCTCATCTCCATGTCGAGTTCTTGCTTGAAAAAGCGTGTGACAGTGCGAGCCAAAATGCTAAGCCGAACCCGGTACTTGTAGCCAACGTACATGCCTAACATGAAAATGAACAGGCTGTAGATGCAAAACCACTGGAAGTACCACAAGTGACTGACATAGTCACCCTTCTTCTCCTCTTCAGCGACTTCATTCTTGCCCACCATGCCAAGCACGCCAGGCTGAAGCAACAAAAGTGTCACTGCACGCACCATGTTTGTTGGCACTTTCACTTGGGTTCCATTGGCTTCATCCATCAGGCTCTTGACCATCTCGCCTTTCACTGCCTTCATCCTTCTGGCCATTAACTTCTTGCTGACCACTTCATTGAAGGAATCTTCTCCAACTGGGGCGAAAATCTCATCACCATTCTCAGCCGTCATCTCCACCAAACCAATCAAGTACATGAGAAACTCTCTCCTCTGCCTTGTCAGCCTCTTTGTTCCCAAATCGGAAACATTCCAGAGCGTCGGGATGCCAGCCATTGTGAGAACTTCTTTCTTGACTTCAAGCTGCATCCACAAGTAGCGAGTGTCAATGTGTTTCCACCTCCCAACTCCAAGCCGCTCTGTAAAGGCTCTGCAAGAGGTACTGTCTGTGATGGATCGAATCTTCACTTCACGCTTGCTGAGGAACTGCCAAAGGTCTTTAATCTGGATGGACTCTGCTGCACCTCCAGCTGCTGCCGAAAACTCAGCTTCACAAGAGCTCAATGATATGGCTTTCTGGGATCTCGACCATCCAGCTACAAGGCATCCATTCAGGAATAGCATGGCTGAGCTCACTGAATGCCGTCGCTTCTTCTCACTGGACTTATCACCAGCCCAATCACTGTCAGTGAATGCTTCCAGGAGGTCAAAGTCACCAAGGTCATCGGCCAAGTTGAGAATCTCAGCTTTCTTAGACTTGTTCTTGGTGTAAGGAAGCAACAGGCCGTAGTTCTCGGTTCTCTTCAAGTAGCAAATCACATGCTTGAGCTCTGTCTCAGCCTTTCTGGTAGGCATAGCCATGAACTGTGACAGGTTTCTGACGCAATGCTGGATGTCAATCCTGTCCTGGGAGATGTACAGGAGAGTGCCAAGTGCCGAACGGAAGCGGTGTTGATCTCCACCTTGAAGTTTGTCTTCTGGACCTCCTTCCAAATCAACTTGTGTGCTTTCTGGAGTCGCTTTGCCTGCTCGGTTGGTGAGATTGTACAACTCCAAAAGTCCTGGGACATATCGCTCATGTGGCATGATCACCAAACCTTCTTTGGTGAAGAAGTGCCTCTTCTTCAGGCATCGAACTGCTTCATCAGCAGGCTGACCATCACGAGGAAGGATGCCAGACTCGCTCAGCACAAACTTACCCTTCATCTTGCTCAACAGCCATTGCAGGTCTTCAAGCTCTCCAGCCACAATAAGATCATCTACATGACAAACTGCACCAATCTGCCTGCCTTCATGTCGAAAGAGCGAAGGCAAACTCATGTGGCTTTGGAATCCCAGGTCTCGAAGGTGTTCACTCAAGAAATCGAACCACCTTGCTGCTGCATCTCGTTGTCCTGGGAGACATTTGGCGAGAGTCCAAAAACGTCGTTGTCCATCACTTGCTGTGCCTTCATCTGCCTTCCACCATGTAGGTTGTTCCACAAGCACCAGACGAAGTTGGTCCACCAGCAGAAAAGCATCTTTGATGTCCAAGAAGCATAGGTGCCATTTCAAAATCACGTGGGTACCAAGCACCAGTCTGGTTGCTGCTATTGAAGATGTTGGTGCAAAAGTCTTTGAAGAAGACACATCATTTCCTTTGAACTCACGCGCAACAAACCTGCACCTTCTCTTCCATTTGCCATCACGAAAGCGCCAGTCATAAACTGATCTGGTAGTCAGGATCTCTCCTTGCTCCACCTCCTGTTGTGTAGGTTCTCTGATGACTCCCATAGTCAAGAGTCTGCTGATCTCTTCTTGCCCAGCAGCTGCCTCGATCTCCTTCATGGTCTCTTCATCCACTTGTGGAGGTTGTCCTTCATCAACGGTGTCCAAGTCCACCATGGCACGCTCCATGTCCTGCTCATCGTTCAAGAAGTCTTCCACCTCCATCTCCCACTGTTCTTCATTGACGGGATGAAATTCCTTTTCCACACGGTTCACCCCACCAGCATAGTGAGGTGCATAGAGGTGTGTTGGACTGCTATCTGGGCTTTCAACTCTTGGGATCTTTGGTCTGGGCTCCTTCTCAGTAGTGTCATCCAACATCTCCTGGGTTCTACTTGAAGTCGACATCGAAGGGATCTTCACCTCTGGTGTCACAGGAGCTTTGCTTCCAATGGCATCATCTTCATCCATGCCCATGGGTAGAGGAGGTACTCGAAGAAATTTGGATGCTGGCTGTTCTGTTGGTTCAACTTCTCCTCCACCATGCTTCACACCACTTCCTGCCTTTGTCTCCACCGGAGTGCCGCCAGGATGATCTCGTGCATACTGCATCACATCATCTGCATCTTGATCTCTCACATCATGATCTCCTGGCTGGGTGTTGGAAGGTCCATTAGGCTTGTCTTCACCTCCACCATCTCGGTCAGGTCCATGTCCTTTGCCAGGTCCTCGAACTCCACGAGGAATCATTGGAGTCATAGGGAGAAGTCGCAAAGGTCTTCTTGTGTTTGGGTTTCTATAGGGCTTCTCTTTCACCATGAAAAGGTAGACGGATCTCCATGGTTGTCCTGTCCGCCTGACTGCTTTGCCTCGAACCACACCTGAGCAAGCCACCACCATATGCAGGTCATCTTCTTCAGTCTTTCCAACCCAAATACCCGGAATCCACTGCGGCCCTTGCTTCAATCCAGGTTGCCTGCTGAGCACCATCACATACTCCCCAAAACACACAACCTTTCCAACATAGCGCCTGCCATAAGCCAGCTCAAAAGGTGCCATCTGTGTTGCTCGATGGGTGCTGAAGCGATTGAGCACCCAGGCTGCATGGACATAGGCCCAACTCCACAAAGCATGGTCACCTGGCAATGAAATCAAACAACGATCTTCGGCCATGCTTACCAGGGTCGAAGCTTGCCTTCTCAACGTTTGGATTGCCCTTTCCACACGGCCAGTTTGGCCTTTCTTTTGGCTGAAAGTCAACACGGTTTCAAGACCAAGGCCTTGTCGAAGAGTCTTCACAAGAGTCAACAAACTCTTCATTGTCGGCTCACTATCTCCAACCACTTCCAGCTTTCCATAGTGGTTCATGGCAAGTGAAAACTTCGTCACCTGTTCGGCTTGTCCACGGAGGTCTGCACCTTTGCTCTCCACTGGCATGGCCATCAACATCCTGCTTTCACAATCCACACCAACCAACACGACTGTCAGAGCTGTCTGGCTGGCGGTCTTACCTTCTGATCTTCCAAAACCATAGTCCAGCTGAATTGAAGGAGAAGTGCGCCGCTCTTCCTCTGACAAGTCCAAAGGTCTTTGTGCATCTGCTCGACTCTTGCAAGAAACACACACGTCACACCAAGACTGGTATGGTAGGTGTACAAGCTCATGAAGTTCACGTTCTTGCTGGCTGGGTTGTCGAGGAGTTGCCACTTGCACCAAACCTTTGTGTTTGTTCTGCTCTTTGTACAACCTGTTGGCTGATGTGAAAAGCTGTTGATGCTCAAGCTTCTGGACCTGCTGATTCAGCTTGTGCCATAGAGTCTTCTTTGAACCACCAGTGCCTAACCCCAGGTATTCAGCTGCACTTCTGAGGGTTGCCAAGCTACTGTTCTCAGTCAGGTCGACATCATTCACCACTAAGTTGGCACGGTTGTCAAACACTGGCATGGGTCCATCCCAGGCCTCACCTGAATCATGTTGATCCAACTCTTCCTCAGTCACCTGGTTTTCAGGTCGAAGCTCGTCAGGTACTGGAGGCTCGTCTCAAAGAGGAAGTCACTGCTCTGAACATTGGCGCCTCCAGCTGTTGCTGTGTGCTCACCAACAATGGTTCCAAAGCATTGTACTGGTTCACGTTTGCGATGCAAAATGGTCAGAACTTGAGTTTCTTCACCAGCACACTCAGGAATCTCAGCTTCTGGATCAGGGAAGGTGTAGTATCGACTGCAATGTTCCACCAACTCCCAATCTCCATCTTGTCTCCTGATGAGCGTTGATCTCAAAGGCCACCAATGCAGATTCCACATCAATTGGGCGTTCTCGAAGTTCTTGCTGTGGTACTTAAACTTGATGGGATTGCCTTCTGACATTGTCTTCCATGCATTCAAACCGTAGAACTCCATCAGAGAATCATGAAGTTTGACCACAGTCATCACCACCAGAACTTCATCATCATCTGCATGGCCTGTGAGCACGTTGATCTCACCTTTTACTTCTTCAGGCTTCTGGCTAACCTGATTGATGCACCCATAGAGCGCCAAGCTGTTCTTCTTGAAGAAGAGGGGAATCTCACACTTCCTGTCTGGTGCGATCAAATTCACTCCAGCTTCACTGGTGCCTTGAGTCAAGCGCCAACCTCTTTGCAAAAGTCGTCCAAGGCTCACTAGTGGCGTCTGCACCGAAGCCACAATGAAGTCATCCTCGATGATCACTGATCCTGCCATGCCAAGGTCACATTCGACTTGAGCCAACTTTCTTCCATAAGTTTTCAACTGGGAGCCCTGAGCATCTTCAAGGATTGCCTTTCCTCCTTCTTGGGGTCGTCCACGGCTGGCCATCTCTTTTGGAAGGATGCTGCAGTCAGCACCTGAGTCCAAAACTATCAACATCTTTTCTGGCACACTTCTCACCATGCTCACGTGGAAAAGCTCTGGCTTCTCATCTTCTCGCTCCAAGACATAGCGCCAGGTCTTCAAGTCACAATACCACTTGTTGGTCTTGTCCTCGATGAAGTTGTCAAAGTTCTCCTCAGCATCAGAGTCATGGGCCAAACTGTAGCTCACGACATTGACCCGGTAGTGGTCGTCATAGATCCAGCTTTCACCACCTTCACTCTGGATCTCGTAGAGAATGGGATTCTCTTGTTCTTCACGAGGTGTTGCCACATGGTACAAAATCACCTGCCTCACAGTCTTTGGAACATTGGTTGAAGCCACTGAGGATGTAGTCGTCGATCGAGCCTTGCCTCCAGCTGAACTTGCAATCTCACTTTCTGCAAGGCTTTGCTGAGTTACAACTTGAGCTTTGCTGGGGCACTCATTTCCCCAGTGTCCTTGTTGACCACAAATACGACAGGTGTTGTTGTTGGCAGCACCTCCTCCTTTTCCTTTTCCACGGCCACCAAACTTGCTCTTGCCTTTCCTTCCTTTCTTGCCTTTGCCACCTTTCTTGCCTTTGCCCTTGAAGCTCTTGCCACCACCATATTTGCCACCATTGTAGCCAAAAGGGAACCATCCTCCTTTCTTTCCTTTGCCACCTTTCTTTCCGCCACCTTTGTCCTTGCCCTTGGTGATCTGGCCAACCTGGTCAACGTCCATTGGAGTAGGTCCACCTGGATTTGTGCTCATGGACTGCTGGACCATTTTGAGATAGGACTCACCGCTCCAAGTTTTGCTGTTCTTGTCCATGAGGATGAGGCGTTCTTTGAGGCTGTAGTAGTCGATCTTGTCGTCCAGGGTCAACTCCAGGTGTTGTCTCACACTTGGAGCCACACATCGAAGAACTGTGGCCACCGCCAAATCTTCTGGCATTGAATGCCCTGAGGCAAGTTGATATTGATCTAAAAGAAGATCAAGTTGCAAGAGGTTCTCCAACATGCTCTTGCTCTGCTGGAAAGGAGGGTAACTCATAATAGCTTGCCCAATTGCCATCGTCCTTGGCCTTGCTCTTGGGATGTACAAATCCCTCAACTGCTGCCACACGAGGAATCCATTCCGCTCGCCATCGGCTGCCCGGACAATCTGAGAAGCCGGACCCTTGATGTAGGATGCCAAAATGGCATATAGTTTCTTTGCCATCTCTTTCACCTCCTCGCTGGCAAAATCCGACAACTTGCAAGGCTCGTCCAGGGCCTCAACATCTTTGAGAAGTTCTGAGTACTTGTAGTTGCCATAGGTGAGCCAGTTCGTGAAGCTCTCCTTCCAAGCCACATACTTCATGGGGTCATCAACATCAAATGTCTCGGGCGGTCGAAGGATTTTGGATGCTTCACTGAAACCACCACCATCTCTTCTGTTCTCCATCTTCTCCATGACAGACGAAGAAGCTCTTGCTGCATTCGTTGCGGCATTGGCCAAGTTCACCACATGGTCAAGCATTCTGGCCATCTGATCTTGGTCCATGGCATAGGTGTTCAGCCACAAGGTCATGAAGACCAAACCACGAAGCTGCAACTTCTTCTCAAAGCGTCCCCGTAGCCTGCCATTCCATCTCCTTTGCTTGTAGTAGCTCAAGTGGCCCGTAGTCATGTTTCTTCTCGAAGCCAACCTCCTGCAAGTGCGCATTTGGCTCAACATCAAGCCAACTCCATATGCTACCAGGAAGAGCAAGAAGCACATAGCTCTCCAGCCCATCATCTCGTTCATCTGTTCCACCTTCTGGTAGATGTCATACTCCTGGAGGATCGGGTCCAAAAAGTCAAGAAAGGAGTTCTTCAAGTCGTTGAAGTACCTCTTTGAGCTCACGACCATCACCTCTCCAACTGCAACCAAAAGGTCAGAGCTCCAATCTCCAACTCGTCGATGTGCCAATCGACCTTCCTTCAAGTCCAGGTCCCAATCCAGGACTTCTGAGAGGTTCAAAGTTGAATTGCTAGCTGGTTCACCACATTGACCTTCAGTCATGAGCTCCCCATCATCCACGGTGCCAATCCGTGCATAGTCAGTGGTGCCGATCCACTGCATTCTCAACTCCTTCTTCTCCTCAAAGTTCGTGAGGCAGCAATCCTCACCAAAATCGTCCTCCAAGATCACCAGGTCCTTGTAGTCGATGGTCTCCTTGTTGTCCTGGTAGTACACGTAGTCGTCCTGGTAGCGCTCAACATCAACGGTCGCCATCGTCAAAAGAACAAGTGCAAGCCACCATGGCATCGCGCGACCGGATGGAGCCGGAGCTGGTCCTTTGCCCAGCTCCGCTACCATGTTCGCGGAGAAAACGCAGCGCGCCCTGTTATGCTAAGGCTTGGGCCACTATTCGGCCGAGAGGTTAAGTCAAGTGCTGTGCAACAAGTGGGGCTCTCTCTGTCAAATGCCTAACAAGTTGAAAAGCATGAGTTGGAATCGTTCCAACAGCCTGTCCCCGGAATTGCTTTAAACCTCAATAAAGATCCACACTCTCTGGCAGTCACAAACTCGCAAGCATGGGAAACATTAACACGCAAACTGCAAGCTTTTTGAGCAAATCGAGGCGGCCCTGATTGAATGTGGATGTGGCAGAACATGCGGTGTTGCCCGGCGCTCCCCCATAAGGGAAGCACGTCCCCTCCCGCCACATACGGGCAGCTGCCCAGTTAACACCCGGGTCAAGAGTGCACGGCGAGCCCAAGCTTGTAGACACAGCCACCAAATCCTTGGACTCGCTGTTCAGGACACGGAAACAAAGCAACATGTTCCTAAGAAGATTGCTCACCCGCAGCGCAAAATGAAAATGTGTGAAAACCACCCTATGTCGTGAAACAAGGCTCTGCTCCTTGAAGTTGTTCCTGCTTTTGGGTATCGCAGTTGTCGACTCCGCATACATCATCGCAGGTTCCTGACCAGAAAGAAAAATGACCTCCTTGTAAACCAAGCAGCAAGGGCAAACACCTACGATGTTGCCTGGTACACCTCCTTTCGCATCTAGGCCTGTGCCTCGTGCAACACCTGTCATGGCCCATGAAGTTTGGCGCGCGTGGTAAGACTTTATATAGGCGCCTGGATCCGGGCTGAACTCCCAAACGCCGTCGGCGGCTGTAGTGGTGGCGGTCGTAGTACTCGTCGTGGTGGTCGTCGTAGTGGTGGTCGTCGTGGTGGTGGTGATCGTAGTGGTGGTGGTGATCGTGGTGGACGTTGTGGTGGTGGGCGTCGTGGTGGTGGGCGTCGTGGTGGTGGTGGTGATCGTGGTGGACGTGGTGGTGGTGGGCGTCGTGGTGGTGGTCGTGGTGGTGGGCGTCGTGGTGGTGGTGATCGTGGTGGACGTGGTGGTGGTGGTGGTGGTGATCGTGGTGGTGGTGATCGTCGTGCTGGTGGTGGTGGTGGTGGTGGTGGCGGTGGTGGTGGTGGTGGTGGTCGTCATCGTCGTCGCAGTCGTGGTCGTCGTCGTAGTCGACGTAGTCGTCGTAGCCGTTGTCGTTGTCGTTCTCCTTGTGGAGGTGGTTGTTGAAGTGGAAGTAGAAGCATTAGTAGTCGTGGTTGTTGTTGTCGTTGTTGTTGTTGTTGTTGCTGTTTGTGTGGTTGTGGGAGCAGCCCCAGTCTCCAGCACATACGCCCCTTCAATCAAAGCAGCAGCGTTGGGCTCCGCTGCAGCAGGCAGAGCTGCAGCCACATCGGGGTTGCCGCAAACAGCTTGCAGCCTTGGCTGGGGCGACAAAGTCCATGGATTTGCAAAAGAAAATTTATAAGTGCACAAAAACAATTCTGAAATCAAGAAGTCCGTGTCTGTCTCCAAACAGGCCAACGCAATGCAGAGCCGTTTCAGGACCCAAAGTTGCAAAGCGCAATCAAGCATGCATGGCATGCGAGCGTTTTCCAACAATCTGTAGCCCTGGTTTGAAATTAAAAGGTTGTTACGTTGTCAAATGAGCAGCTCTGTCAGCATCTCGTAGAGATTGCCCTCTCCAAACACCGCATCCGCATAAGATGCAAGGTAACCACAACTGTCAGCCAGGTTTTCGTCCACTGCAGAGGTCCCACTCTGAAGAAGAGACGCCGGCCCGGACAAATCAGCAACTATGGTGTTGATGGCGTCCAGCAAGCCTGGGCGTCTCACAACATGTGGAACAACCCCTAGTCAGGCAGCAAGGTACGGACAATCGAAAAACATGCATAGCTGCATAGCATAAAGAGTGTCAGTGGACAGCGAGAAACCTACATTGTTGCCCTGGTAAGTGTCGTTGGCCTCGTAGTAGGTGACAAATTCCGTCACCAGCAATGCGCTGCCTGACGTGCTGAACCACCTGGTGGAGAAGTCTCTGACCGACCGTGCTTCGCTGCCAGTGAGGTTGTCAGCCAAAGCCGAGAAGGTCGCTTCAAGCGCTTCTGGCCGAATGTGCAGAAACATTCAACACCCCCCTCTCGGCAAAAGATTGCTTTGTCATTCAACAAGTGGAGGGCAAACATGAAAATTAGCCTGCTACTGGCCACGAATCGAGTTCAACTGATGTTCATATACAAGTATACGCCAACCCCTCAGCAGGGCGTGGGCAGAAGGCGGTGATTTGCCTGTGTGTTCGGAAAGGTGTTAAAACATAAAGACAAGTCGGTTCAGGAAAATCCTCCAGGATCCGGATCCCTTGTCGCATCTGCAATCGAAATCTGATAAGTGTTGCTTGTTTTTCGGAATGTTTGGGGCTGTACGCGAGCAGTGCGCACAACGCAGCTTCTAACGCTCTTTCCGCCGGACCTTCGCAGCACCACCTGTTATCATTAACATCGGGACGCCTGCGGCTTCCCTCCCCAAGGGATCCCTTCATTCATTCAGATTATCCTACAAAAGTGTGGCGCAAGAGTCTCACCGAGAATAATTTAGTAAAAGGAAAGGAAAGGAAAGGGGAGGAAAGCAAAGCCAAGCCAGCAAGCAAGCACGCACCATCTATGCAGGCTGTCCGCTATAAGGGGTGTTGGGGCAGGGGAAAAGTTGATGCAAAATCCCTACCCCTTAGCAGGGGGGAACCTCGAAAAATGTTACTTACAATTTCTCCTTACATATGCTTGAAAAAATGTAATTTACATTTGTTAGGCATTTTCTGAAAATGTAACTATTGCAAGTTACATTTTTCCAGGCAAAAATGCAACTATCTATGGCATCTATGGGGCATGTGAGTTACATGTTTGTTGTCCAGGGTGCTCCAGGGCAATACTACGCAAAACTCAGTGAGATTTGGCTCTTTTCTTGATGTGTGCGTTTGGTTGGTTTGTTCTGTTTTGGGGTTGCGTGAGGGTGTTTTGCAATTATATTCTGGGCCATGGTGGCACATGTATGGACCTGACTCCCAGAACAAAATGTAACTTAGGTGTGTGCAGGCCTTGGAGGTGTGCATTTTCACATGCCTTTTTTTGAAAGCATGAATGCCTGCAATGAAATTGTTTCCATGAGCTTGCAGCAAACTCTCAACAGAGTCATCCTCGAAGAGAAGCAGGAGCCTGCCAGTTCCTGACTGATTGAGTATTGAGTACTGCAAGTTCCTGAATGGATTGTCAAGCCTCAAGCTGGCGGGCTGTCATTGGAAAGCTGCAACGGGTCTTGGTGATTTCCTGGCGCTTCATTTGGCAGTTTTGTGAGTATTGTATAACCCTTGCACTATAGCAGCCACTTTAACCAGACATCGCTCCCCGAGAATTCTGGTAGCGATTGGAAACTACACAGTAGCAAGCGCCTGCAACGCTTGCTTTCTTCTGAAGCGCGCCAAGCTACACCTTGCATCCTCTTGCGCTTCATTTC